CACTCCTCAATAAGATCATAACTGACCTGATCACTCCACAATTCCACCTAGCGCCCCCTACCCATAACCTTACACCCATCTTCACTTGTCAACAGTCTACATACTTCTGCGTTGAAAATATTCAGACTCTGCTTCCCCTTTGGAGGAAATGGAGTTCTAAATACTCACAATCCTTTGAGAGGAAAGTGTCGTCCCATCTCGATTTTAAATGGAAAGCCCCTTGTTTTGAAACAATGACCCTTAGTGCTAGATTATCCCACAAGAGGAAATTTCCTCTTCACATCCACCCTGTCTGAACTTCTCAAGATCTTCTCTGTTTCAATCACGACACCTTCTAAGCTCCCTCTATGGGCCTAACCAGCCCAACCTTTCCTCTTAAGACACTGGGGAGGTGGGCTGCTGGTTAGCTTAGGCAACCAATTGGCTAGTGTTATCTGATTAACATGAGCAGCAAAGGGTCATGTCCTGTCCTGGCCGAGGTAGACTTGGTGCCCATCTCCTTGCCTTATCCTCAGTTTAAAAAAAAGGTGTCACTTTATTGTGGTTCGACAAATATTCACCAAAGGTCCTTCCTTCAGGAAGAGAACCGAAGAAGAAGAAAATTTGCTCGTATCTGCAGTTTTCCAAAGTTTCCTAGGCCCCTGCCACACTGAGGCCAAAGGCCAGCTGTGGTCAGAGCCATTCCCTAGAGCCTGGGTGAGGTCCAGAAAAGCCTCCTTTAAACATCTCCTGTGTTGAGCTCAAAGTGGGGGGAGTTGTTGCGATTGTGGCCATAGGCCATCTGTGAATGATCTTCCCCTCCACAGGTTTTTCCATTTTGATGCTCCATTCATGGTTCCCATCATGCCTCAGCAGTGCCCACCCCTCCTTGGGTCACTTTCAATTTACCAAAACCTTGGGCATTCCCATCAATCCTCTGGACTGTGCAAGCCCCCTGCGCTCCCAAATTGGTCCGATTTTCTCCCGACATTGGAATATCAAAGTCCACCAGAAATATTGCCATCAGGTGTCAGGAAATTTCTGAAATTACACTTGGAAATGACAGTTTCCAAGCTTAAAGTATCAGTTCGGCATTCCTCTGCTGTTTAACAGAGAGTTTAAACACTTTAAAGTGAATGCAATAAACCATGGGAGAGATGTGAAGTGGGCTGCTGATTCATGGCCTACTTAGCTCCTATGTCTTATGGTTATATTTTTAAAACTGAGATAGATGGATTTTTAATCAGTAAATGTCTTTGGGGAAAAGGCAGGAAACTGAAGGTGAGGATTATCAAATCAGCCATGATCATTAAATGGCAGAGTAGACTCGATGGGCTGAATGGCCCACTTCTCCTACATCTTATGGATTTACTCTCACCACAGTGGGACAACTTCTGTTAAAATAGCTATGTGAACCTGTTCTAAGTCCATTAATTATAATTCATTAATTTCATCTGCAGTAGTTTTCCAGGGACCAACTTTTAACAGAACTTTTTTTCTGCCAATTTGGCTCAGTTAAGAAGCACTGTTGCTCCTGAGGTGGAAGGCTGTGGATTATACCTCACTTTCCAATCTAAGCACTTATGCTGGCTAACATCACAGTGCAGTACTGCAGTGGCAGAGATACCATTACTAGGACTGAAGTTACAAACGGTAAGACTGGCGCATGAGACATACTGGTACAATTTTTACAAATACTCATTCTCCAGGATGAGGGCTTCTCTGGCTAGGCTGACATTTATTGCCCATCTCTAATTGCCCACCGGGCAGTTAAGAGTCAACCACATTGCTGTGGGCCTGGAGTCACCTGTAGGCCAGACCAGGCAAGAATGGCAATTTCATTCCCTGAAGGGCAATAGTGAACCAGTTGGGTTTTTCCAACAATCAACAATGGATTCATGGTCATCATTAGACTCTTCATTGCAGATTCTTTTTTTATCTACCATGGCAGGATTTGAACCTGGGAACAAATTTGTGTGTTTGGATTAACAGTCCAGTGATAATACCACTAGGCCATCGCCTCCCAAATCATCTTGCTAAAATCAAAATGGACATTCAGTCTGTTCATTTCCAAGTATTGTCTTTTTTTGATGATTTTTCCATCTGGGCAGACCTAGCTTCTTTCTCAGTGCTAGCCATTAAACATCCTGTGATGCTTTGTTTATTGACATGTGGGATGTGGGCATCACTGGCTGGGTCAGTATTTATTGCTCATCCCTACTTCTTTTGAGAAGGTGGTGGTTGAATGTATTGAACCGCTGAAGTCCATTTGGTGTAGGTAGACCCACAATGCTGTTAGGGAGGGAATCCAAGGACTTTGACCCAGTGATACTGAAGGAATGGTAATATTTTTCCATGTCAGAATGATGAGTGGCTTAGAGGGGAACTTGCAGGAGGTAGTGTTCCATTATATCTACTGCCTCTGTCTTTCTAGGTGGAAGTATTTGGGCATTTGGAAGATGCTGTCTAAGGGGCTTCGGTGAATCTTGCAGATGGTACGCAGGTGAATCTTGCAGATGGTACGCACTGCTGCTACTGAGTGTCTGTGGCTGAGGGAATGGATGCTTGTGGATGTGGTGCCAAAGAATTGGGCTGCCTTGTCCGAGATGCTGTCAAGCAGGCATAGGTTTAAGTGACAGGGGAAAGATATGAAAGGGACCTCAGGGGTACCTTTTCACATAGAGGGTTGTGCGTGTATGGAATGAACTGCCAGAGGAAGTGGTGGAGGTTGGTACAATTACAACATTTAAAAGGCATCTGGATGTGTATATGAAAAGGAAAGGTTTAGAGGGATATGGACCAAATGCTGGCAAATGGGACAAGGTAAATTTAGGATATCTGGTTGGAATGGGTGTGTTGGACTGAAGGGTCTGTTTCTGTGCTGAATATCCCTGTGACTCTGAGTGTTGTTGGAGCTGCACCCATCGAGGCCATTGGGGAATATTCCATCACACTCCTGTCTTGTGCCTTGTAGATGGTGGACAGGCTTTTGGGGGTTTGGGAAGTGACTTACTCGCTGTGAGAATCCTAGTTACTCCAGATGCTTACTGCAGAGAAGATGCAACTCCTTTCAGAGTAAGATCATACACAGAACCACCACCATCAAAAATGAAACAAAAACAGAAATTGCTAGAAAAGCTCAGCAGGCCTGGAAGCATCACTGAAGAGAAATCAGAGTTAACGTTTTGGGCCTGGTGACCCTTCCTTAGAACTGAAAATGGAAATTAGTGAGGCCTCTTCTGGAATACTGTGCCCAGTTCTGGTTGCCCAGTTATAGGAAGGATATCGTCAAGCTGGAGAGGGTTCAGAAGAAATTTACCAGGATGTTGCTGGGTATGGAAGATTTGATTTATAAAGAAAGGCTGGAGCGGCTGGGACTTTTTCATGTGAGCATGGGAGGTTGAGAGGCGATCTTACAGAAGTTTATGAAATAATGAGGAATATAGATTTAAATGTAGTTTTCTTTTCCCTGGAATGGAATTTCAGTTCTAGAGGGCACATCTTTTAAGGTGAGAGGAGAGAGATTTTAAAAAGACAAGAGGAGCAAATTTTGGTGGTTTGCGTCTGAAATGAACTTCCTGAAGGAATGGTGAATGCGGGTACAATTACAACATTTAAAAGACATTTTGATAAGGACATGAACAGGAAAGGTTTGGAGGGATATGGTCCAGGAGCAGGCAGTTGGGGCTAGTTTAGTTTGGGATTATGTTCGGCATGTACTGGTTGGACCGAAAGGTCTGTTTCTGTGCTGTATGACTCTATGGTCAATACTGTTTGCGGAATCCTGCTGTGTTCAAATTTCTTGCTCCATTCTACGACATAACAGAACCACAGCCGATCCAAACAATTTGCTGTCAGTTGTTAATAGGAGCTCTATAGAAATGCCTCGACTGGACTCGTTTCCCACCAAGAACAGATGTGCGTCACCACTTGAGGGCACTGTTGGGAAAGTTTTGTGCCACAGAATGAATGAGATTGTCAACCCAATTTGAACCTCAGGTTTTAATCTTGAAATGTAGCAGATTGACACAGCAGCCAGCAATGTCCCGGATTATCCCTGAGGGCCTGCACATCTGTGCATCCAGGGAGGTGCTGGGGGGCAGTACCGCAAATCATTACCACTGCTGCTGCTCCGGTTGCACTTTTGCCCCTTGACTTACATGGTACATTGGTAGCTGGTGACCATAACGCTGGGCAGTGCGACTTTGACATGGCTTCTCCACGTCTCAGCTACACATGGTGGATTCCCAGTCCCTAGCGGAGTTCTCGAGCTCCAGCCAGCCGAAAGGGTACCTATGCGTGGTGATGGATTTTGGTAAAGTTGTCAAATTGGCTGACGTTGATGTTTTGGGAGACTTGGCGACTTTCGATGCCATGACCTCCTGGTGAATTTAAAAAAGCAGGATCGAAAGTTACGGTGTCCAAAAAGGTGCAGTCCTGTGTGACTTTTACCCTGAGAGCAAATTCAGAAATGACATGCGTCACACTGGCATCTTAACTCCACTACCCCCACCAACACCCCAACTTTATTGCAGGCACCTCTTCTAGGAACTACTGTGGTTCACGAATTGCACCTTTTATATTTATAGAACATAACCGTTGAGACGTAGCTCCTACTTCAGCTGTTATGGCACATCACAGTTAAAATTTGGTGGCAACCGAAAACAGTAACAGATATGCCCAGTATCATTTGGTTTTAAAGGGACCGTTTAACAATGCAGCTAAATTATAACCACAACTTCCCACCCGGCCATCCAGCCCTCCTGCCTGAACAGCTTCTTTCTCCGTAGTTTCTATTTATACAGAGGCACATCCATTTTTGGCAATTGTTAAGATTTCAGTTTCGCATTAACCACGTTCTGTCTCATTTCTAGCATCCTGCAGTAAAAGGCAAGAACTTGCATTTATGTAGTGCCTTTCACCACCTCAGGGTGTCTTCATAGCCAATCTAGTTACTGTTGTAATGTGTAGACACTAGGACTTCCCTGCGTTGTGAAACCATCCTTTTCTTTCATGTACAGGCATTGCCCATGTTGCAAGCAGGTTTTGTTTGAGTGTATTTACAAGATGAATTGTACGCAAGTCGGAACACAGCACAGGACTATGTAAAGGAGCTGTTTGTAAGTACAGGAAATGTTCGTATGTCAGACCTTTAAAATTATACCCCTGTTTGAGATCACGTTCATAAGCATGAGTGTTTGTAAATCAGAGACCCCCTGTACCCAAATTTCTTTTGCCCAGAAATGGGAGGTTGTCGTGCTACCGTGCGTAAGTCACTGGAATAGTAATCCAGAACCACAGACCAATGCTATGGGGATATGTGTTTGATCCTACCAAGACAGATGGTGAATTTGAATACTATAAAAAATCTGGAATTAAAAAGCTACCTGATGGTGACCACATAAGCCATTGTTGTAACATCCATCTGGTTCATTAATGTTCTTTAGGGAAAGAAATCTACCATCCTTACCTGGTCTGGCCTACATGTGACTCCCCAACATTGTGGTTGACTCTTAACTGCCCCGTGGGCAATAAATATCAGTCTAGACAGCAAGACCCATCTTGTTCATCTTTGCAATCCAGTTCAAGACTTTATCTCTCATGAAAGATGTTACTAATTCATTTGGCATAAAATAGATGGTGGTGCATTGATAATGTTACTGGGCTAGTTTTTTTTTAAATACATTCATGATATGTTGGCATCACTGGCTCGACCAGCATTTTTTTGTCCACGTGACAGCTAAGAGTCAAGTGCATTACAGTGGGTTTGGAGTCACATGTAGGCCAGACCAGTTTAAGGATGGCAGATTTCCTTCCTTAACAGACATTAGTGCACCAGTGTTTCTCGACACCAGTTGACAGTAGCTACAATTAGACTAACATTTTATTCTAGGTTTAAATTCGCACTCCACCATGATGGGATTTGAACCCTCATACCCTGAAATCATTAACCTGGGGTTCTGTCTTACAAGCCTATTGATGTTACTGCTATGTCCCCACTGCCTCACAAGAGAATGCTGTGGGAGCACGTGTTCAACTCTCACCATGGCAACTGGTGGAATTAAAATGCAATGATTAAAAATGGAATATGAAGGAAGTGTCAGTGATGGTGATTATGAGAACTTCTGCACACTGTTGCAAAATCCATCTGGTTTATTAATGTTCATTAGGGAAGATGTGCTGTCCTTACCTGGTCTTTCAGAGGGGGAAAAAACGTAATGCTTGGAAATGGTCATCCTGGAGCTCCATGCTAAAGTAGACATGACAATTTGGACCTATATGTGTTATTCGGAAATTTTCTCCTCTGGGCTGGCCTATAGGTGTCTCCAAGTTGACAGCAACATCATTGATTCTTAAATGCCCACTGAAAAGGCCCTAACAATCCACTGAGCTCAAGGACAATTAAGGATGGGAAACAAGTGCTGGCCTTGCCAGTGATAACCACGTCCCATGAAAGAATAACAAAACTACCATTTGAAATGAGCTGTGCCAGCTAGCTACCTGCTAACAAAACTGCTCTGAGACTGTCAATAGACTCATCACGATTAATTATTAATTTTGAATACTGACTAAACTTTGAAAGTATTGACCGACAAAATGAATACATTTATTGCCAATTGTATTATCTAAAGAACAATGGAAATGTTTGCAAAGCTTACCTTGCACAAATGGTACTAAGTTTTAAAAGTGTAAATCAAAGGAATGCTTCTAAAATCACCAAGGGACTAATATTGACCTTGGCTGTGGGCATATCTTTCTGAGATAGACTTAACCAGTGACATTATGTATAATAGGCGAGAACAAAATGTCTCAAACATCTGGAGACTGAGAAAGTGGGTCAAATAGAAAGGTGAAGTAGCTATTGGCTGGAATGACTAAAGGCTTGTTGGTGTAGGGAATGATCTGGGCTTTATCTAACTGGTTCAGCTGAGCACTTGTGTCTGCTTGCTCTGTTTCTACAAAAACAATCCACCTTTTACAAAGTATTATTATTAAACATCTAAAACATTGTCAATCATGTTAACTCGAGATCAAATTGCTTGTGGCTGAGATAGTGTGAAGGATGAAAGTGCCTGTATAGCACTGAAGAAAAGTCATACTGGACTCAAAAACTCTGTTTCCTTTTCCACAGACAGAGTCATACGTCATGGAAATTGTCCCTTCAGCCCAACTTGTCCATGCTGACCTGGTTTCCTAAACTGAACGAGTCTCATTTGCCTGCGTTTGGCCTATATCCCTCTAAACCTTCCCTATCCATGTAACTATCCGAGTGTCTTTTAAATGTTGTAATCATACTTGTTTCTACCATTTCCTTTGGCAGCTCATTCCATCCTTTGCGAAAAAGTTGCCCCTCAGGTCCCTTTGAAATCTTTTCCCTCTCACTTTTTACCCATGCTCTCGAGTTTTGGATTCCCCTACCCTGGAGAAAAGACCTTGGCTATTCACCTTATCTATGCCTGTCATGATTTTATTAATCTTTGTAAGATCACCCTTCAGCCTCCTATGCTCCAGGGGAAAAAGTCCCAGCCTCTCCAGCCTCAAACGCTCCAGTCTCAGTAACATCCTTGTAAATCTTTTTTGCATCCTTTCCAGTTTAATAATATCCTTCCTATAGCAGGGTGACCAGAATTGTATGTGGTACTCCAAATGTGGCCTTACCAATGTCTTGAACAGCCATAATATCGTGCCCAACTCTTGTACTCAATGCTCTGAGTGATGAAGGCAAGTGTACCAAACACCGTCTTCACCACCCTGTCAATCTGCCAGATGCTGCCACACCAGCTGAGTTTCTCCAGCACTTTCTGTGATTGTGCCTGCGTGGGGCTAAATCTGAAAAAAAAAATGGAGATTCTTCATCTTCTGTACCCACATGTTAATTTTTATTTATCCTTCCCTGCAAATATGCCTAAGTGGAAACTGGTGATGGTAACTGCTGCTTCAGTTTTATAGTGACTTCAGTTGATAATTGCTTTAGCTGACACAATGGGATGGCAATAATATGAAGCACTGGTGTTACTTCCAAGTGTAGGGGGAGGCAGCTAACTGGAATGGCTGGCTTGTGATGTAGAGCAGGTTCACTTCCCAAATCAGCTGAGGTCACTGTGAAGCCTCTGCCTTCTCAATTTCACCCCATGCCTGAGATGTGGTGGTCCTCAGGTTAAACTTGTCTCCAGTTGCGTCTCTCTCTCTCTCTGTAATGAGGAAGAAACCCAATAGTCCTCTGAGAGTATGGCTGCTCCTACTTCCAAGGATCACTTTCAGCATTCTTGAATTAAGAATGGAACTTTCAACTAAGTAGCATTGTCAAAACCTGTTTGCAATGACCACAATTGAAGTTAGTTATGTGAGGATCTTTTCCATGCCTTACTTGCATTTGGAAAATCATTCAACTCTAATCCTAAACCCTAACCCTAATCCTAACCCTATCGCAGGGTCAGCCCAGCTGAAAATTGACCTTGGACAAAAACAAAGTTGCTGGAAAAGCTCAGCAGGTCTGCCAGCATCTGTGGAGGAGAAAACAGAGTTAATGTTTCGGGTCCGGTGACCCTTCCTCAGTTCTGCCAGACCTGCTGAGCTTTTCCAGCAACTTTGTTTTTGTTCCTGTTTACAGCATCCGCAGTTCTTTTGGTGAAAATTGACCTTACTCCTTGTCTCATTCTAGGACATGAACCACTCTCAGGCTGCCTGATTCATGCCAGATTTCTCCTATAACCAGTGTCACTGAGGAAGTCACTGAGAAGTATGTTTATTTTCTTTGATTTTACACACATTTTATTTTATTGTATCCACCTTTATATATTTGTAAGCTTCAAGTGCAGTTTCCGGTGCTACAGCTGCATTCACTGTTCTTCATAGCCTCACCAAGAGCAGAATTTATCCTGCAGAGTCAGCCTGACAATATGGTAGACATCAGTGGATTTCAGAGAATGTATCATTAGACAGGAATCAGGTTTTTTTTTCACATTTCCTGGGCTAACTATCCAGGTATATCAGAACTGTCCAAAATCTCTAATTCCAAATCTGAGTCAGAGAGTCTTTTGGACGGTCCTGGGAAGAGGTAAGTTTCCTATTGGAAGTTCAGACTTCCCAAGCAATTACTGAGTTATTGTGATTTGGGTGTGACTGTGATGCCTCATATGTTGACCGGAGCATTGAGACTCACTTGTTGTGATCACACATGGGTGTTGGCTGCTCTGTTCTCATCGTAACCCCAATGAAGAAAGCTGAAGAGAAACACACATTTTCACAAAGGGAAGAAAATAAAGGGTTAGTACAAGTCAAAAAAGGTTTGTTTTCCCCATGCTGCCTGACACTGTTTTCCTGTTAGGCACAAGCTGTTTCATTTATAAACAAGCTTTTGTTTCAGCTGCTATACATCCTAGTGACCTTGTCTCTTTTTCCACAGTCTCACTCTGCATAGTTAGTGACTCTCACTAACACTCATAGTTGCCGTACCATCTCACATCATGTTTTGTGCCAATGATCTTATGAGTCAAGAACTGGGGAAACCTGGCATTATGGTTGAAACTTGGACTTCACAACAAAAGGGGGTTAAAGTGGCACAAAGAGATAGAGAAGGATCTTGATTTTAACCCCTTCCTGGTCTGTGCCAATTTTGGGGATCATCGTTTGGAAAGGCTATCGGATTTTCCACACTTGGCAAGGAGCTGCTTCTCCAGAAAAGGTGATCAGCAAATCGGGTGCATATTGCAACAATGCTGATTTCAACACATAGGGATATATTTACTTTGTGTTATATCTTCCTGCAGATAATGCGATATACCATTAAAGCACGCATTTGTGGTATTGCCACTGCATCATTGGGATGTGCCTTCATGCTATAAAGCTCTCAGTCTCCATGTTACTGAGCCCTGTCCTCTTGCAGCATGACAGGCTGAGAAAAATGTGCTAAAGTGCATCTGAATTGCTAGGCTTGAGGCCAGATATACAAGTACCTGTCAGTGTCATAGAGTCGTAGAGTCGTAGGGTTGTACAGGATGAAAACAGACCCTTCAGTCTAACTCATCCATGCCAACCAGATATCCTAAATTTATCTAGTCTCACTTGCCAGTATTTGGCCCAAACCCCTCTAAGCCCTTCCTATTCATTTACCCCTCAAGATGCTTTTTAAATGCTGTAATTGTACCAGCCTCCACCACTTCCTCTGGCAACTCGTTCCATACATGCACTACCCTCTGCGTGAAAAAATTGCCACTTAGGTCCCTTTTAAATCTTTCCCCTCTCACCTTAAACCTATGCCCTCTAGTCTCGGACTCTCCTACTGTGGGGAAAAGACTTTGGTTATTTACGCTATCTATCCATGCTCCTCAGGATTTTATAAACTTCTATAAGGTCACCCCTCAGCCTCCGATGCTCCAGGGAAAATAGCCCCAGTCTTTTCAGCCTCTCCCTATAGCTCAAACCCTCCAGCCCTGGCAACGTCCTTGTAAATCTTTCTGAACCCTTTCAAGTTTAACAACATCTTTCCTATAGCAGGGAGACCAGAATTGAATGCAGTATTCCATAAGTGCCCTAACCAATTTGTTGTGTACATATGAAGATACCAGGTGCGGTAATACATGAATTCTTCAGTAGTACATGACCCACAGCTCATTTGTATGGGATCTAGCGTAAGTGTCACGTCATGATGATTGAAGATCACCAGCTATCCTGCCGCTACACGTCAATACAATAGAAGAATTAAGAGCAGAAGGAGACCATTCGGCCCCTTGGAATTGCTCCTTCTTTCAACAAGATCACAGCTGCTCTGTTTGTGCTTCAAATGCCACGTTCCTATCAACCCTTGATAATTTTTGATTCTGTTATCAAAGAAGAATCTATTTATCTCTGACTTAAAAATGTTCAATGATTCCCACCTCCACAGTCTTCTGGGTCAGGGAGTTCCAAAGTCTCTTGACCTCGGAAAAATAAATCATCACGTCTCAGTCCTAATACTCCTGAATTCATAAATAAAAGTGCTCCATAGTTCTGGATGCACCCACATCACCTTGGCACTATCACGCAGGAATGTTTATATAGGTCTCAATGAAAAAATCTGGAATTAAGAGTTTAATAATGACTGTGAATCCATTGTCGTCTGTTGGAAAATCCCATCTAGTCCTTTAGGGAAGGAAACTGTCGTCCTTTCCAGGTCTGGCCTCCATATGATTGCAGACCCACAGCAATGTGGTTGACTCTTAACTGCCCTGTAGACAATTAGGGATGGGCAATAAATGCTGGCCTTGTCAGCAACGCCAACATCCCATGAATGAATTTTTAAAAAATCAAGTCACCCCTCCCTCTTCTAAACACCAGTGGAAACAAGCCCAGTCTGTCCAATCTTTCTTCTTAAGTCAGCTTGCTCATCAGTCTAGTAAACCTTCTGTGAAATGGCTTCCTTAACTGAAGATCTTCCTTAACTGAAGTCTTTAGTCATAAGTCTCAAGGCCCTTCACCAGAGCTAGCTAGGAGGTGGTGTGCAGTGGTAATGTCACTGGGCTAGAGGCTCAGACAAATGCTCTGGGATCATAGTTCAAATCCCATGCTGGGGAAATTTAAATTCAATTTGTAATCTGGAATTAAAGCCTGGTGTCAGTAATGGGGACCATAAAGCTATCATTGATTGATGTGAAAACTGCCCTGTAGGGATAGAAGTCTGCCCTATATGTGACTCCAAAGGACATTGTGGTAGACTCTTAACATCTTCCAAAATGGCCTAAAAAGCCCTGGGCAGAGAATATTGGTTTTGCCAATGACACCCAATATCCCACGAAGGAACAAACAAAAGTGGAAAGCTACAGAATATGAGGGTAGCACGATGGCTCAGTGGTCAACACTGCTGCCTCATAGTGCCAGGGACCTGGCTTCAATTCCACCCTCAGGTGACTGTCTAAGTGGAGTTTGCACATTCTCCCCGTGGCTGTGTGGGTTTATTCTGAGTCCTCTGGCTTCCTCCGGATGTTCAGGTTAGGTGGATTGGCCATGCTAAATGCCCTGTAGGGATGTGTAGGTTGGGTGGATTAGCCATGGGAAATGTAGGGTTATGTGGATAGAGTAGGGGTCGTGGGTCTGGGTGGAATGCTCTTCGGAGGGTTGTTGTGGACTCGGTGGGCCAAATGGCTTGCTTCCACACTGTAGGAAATCTGAGACTGAGGGCACATAAAGAGTGGTTGGACCAATTCCCAAATGCCTGGTCAATGAGGCAGGTTTGTAAGGACCAACTTAAGGGAGTTGGGGAAGTAAATCCAGAGTTTAGAGCAGTTGAATAAAACAGCAGCAATTATGGGCTGGGCTGCAATAGAGACCACCGGAGAAAGGCAAGTAATCGAGATGGAGGAGTTTAGAGGTCACAAAGGAATGTGACTTGAGCGCCATGAAGGTGCCCTCCCCCAATGATTGCCCATCCCCTACGTGGCATTTTAAGGTTAGCAGCCTGGAAGAAGGGAGCAAATTGGATAATAAAAAGCTTATTCTTTTAAATAATTGGGTGATTTTGGGGAAGCTAATTCTGCTTTGTATATTTTACAGAATTAACAATGTTTTGCTGTTTCTGTGTGGGCTGCTGTAGTGCTGCTTGTGGTGGGGGGAGGTGATGTTAGGTGAACAACACAGAGCTATGAGTTGCTAGTCTGTATTTCTGGTTTTCCACGTCCGATCTGACTGAGCCAGAGCGAGCATTTTAAAGGCTGCTTAAGATACACAGGCCTCAAAGATTAATAAGGTCCATCAGATATAATTACAGTTCTGAAGAGAAGAAAATCCTTTCATTTTTAACAAGACACAAAAGCACCCACTGCAGCTGAGGTCTGTTTTCCCTTTTCTCACAAATTGCTTGCAACCAGTACCGTCTAAAACAACCCTGAAAAAGAAATATTCAGGGAAGCTGAGAGTTTGTTCCTGCCCTCTCGCAGCCTTCACTCCATCAGACACTGACATGCTTGTTTCGCATGGCAGGTCAAAGGGTCCATGTTCCTCGAGTCGGTCAGCTGAGCCTTGACTTGCCTATGAACTTTGTCTTGACCCTGTGGTACTGTTAACACTCAGTCATTCAGCCTCTTGTCCCATTTGTATGGGGGGTGGAGCGTGCGGGCAGTGGGGGGGGGGGGAGGGGGCAGGGGGGGGCACAGTTGGGGAGAAACATAGTTGGGTTAAACGCAGGACTTGAGCTGTGAGTTGTGGACAGAGTGCCTTCTTGCAGAAGGGTTTGAGTTATAAAGGGAGTTTTTTTTTACCCTGGAGCACAGAAGGCTGAGGGATGACCTTAAAGATGTTTGTACAAGCATGAGGGGCATAGATAAAGTGAATAGTCAAAGTCTCTTCCCTAGGAAAGGAGAGTCCAAAACTAGAGGGCGTAGGTTTAAGGTGAGAGGGGTTCTAACTTTTTCACAGAGGGTGGTGCATTTACGGAACAAGCTGCCAGAGAAAGTGGTAGAGGCAGGTACAATTACATTTAAAAGACATTTGGATAAGTACATGGATAGGAAAGGTTAAGAGGGATATGGATCAAACACAGGCAAATGGGACTGTTTAGGATGTTTAGTCAGCATGGACAAGTTGGACTGAAGGTTCTGTTTCCGTGATGTATGACTCCAGGACTCTATAATCCTTTTTTGGGGTGGCATTGTGGCTCAGTAGTTAGCACTGCTGCCTCACAGCACCAGGGACCTGGGTTCAATTCCAGTCTTTGATAACTGACTGTGTGGAGTTTGCACATTCTCCCTGTGTCTGTAAGGGTTTCCT